ACCCTATCATACATTTTTTTCTAAATCTATAAAGACCATGTGAAAATCCTTTTGTATCTCTCTATATCATTCCATCGATCTTCGTAAGAGATATATTGCCTCCATAGTCGAGCACTCTGGCATGAACCCGAATTGATTCAAACCCGTGTCTCTTAACTCAATCTATGCTTGATTACTTTCTCCCAAAGCTTCATTGTATGACCCATTAACTTAACCCTATAGTTCATGCAATTTTATATGTCACCCTTATTCTTGTAGATTGGCACCGAAGTGATTTTTCGCCACTCATTTGTCATCCTCTTCATTTCTAAAATCTTATTTAAAAGGTTTGTAAGTCATGCTATACCCGTCTCTCTCAAGATCTTCCACACTTTGATCCGTATATTGTCAGGACCCACTGCTTTTCTATGCTTCATCTTTTTCAAAGTTACAACCACTTCTCATTCTTGATTCGGCGATAAAATGAGTAATTTCTACACTCTTCTGAGTTACTCAACTCACCCAAAAAAGTACTCCTTACGTACCCTTCACTAAAAAGATTTAAAAAATAAGCTCTCCATTTGTCTTTAACCTGCGTTCTTCGTAGCTATAACATTTCCATTTTCATCCTTGATGCACCATACTTGGTTCAAGTCTCTTGTCTTCCTTGCCCTTGCCTTGGCCAATTTATAGATATTCAACTCTTCTTCTTTGGTATCTAATCGCTTATACATATCATCAAAAACCGCTAGCTTCGCTTCTCTCAAGGCTTTCTTTGCCTCCCTCTTTGCTATTTTATACCTTTTACAATTTTCATCGGTTCTATTTTTATATAAGGCCTTACAATATTCCTTCTTAGCCTTAACTTTTTTCCTGTACATCTGCATCCACCACCTAGATTATTTTTTATGTGGAGCAAAATCCTTGGACTCTCCTAAAACCCTTTTTTGCAACTTCTTGGATATAGCGAGCCATGAAATCTCACATTCGGCTAGCATTCCCCTCTGCATTTCAAACGCCTTAGGCAAGTAATTTCTCTTTGAAAATGACTTGTTTTTCTCCTTTTAGATTCCACATCTAGTTCTTGGAGACCATCACTAAAAAACCTTTAAGACAAGTAGCTGGCTGGATCATAGGAAACTAGAGAGCACGTGCGAAGACACTAATTTGTTACATAATTAACTAGAGAGAGGCAATATGATGATATTTCACTTGTATTAGAGAACAAAAGTAGTAAGGATAAGTATGAAGACAAAAAACCGTACATAAATACACACATTATGATATATAATGGAGGTGATTTTTACACCTTTTGTTAGCTTTTTACATATTATCTTTTTTTAAATCTGACAATCACATTGAATAACCAAACAAAAATAACTGACAAATTAAACATGAATGTGTTTTTTTTTTTATATATAATTTCAGGATGAGTGGATAAAGACAAATATGGATACAAAAAATCTATGTTCTTACTAAGCTATCACCCAAAAAGAGTGCGAGGACTAACTTTATTTAATATATATGTTTATTCCTTTGGCTTGAAGAAAGAATGTGAAAAAAAATCTCGTTTGAATGTCCCTTTAGATGATATCAACCCTAAAAAAACGTATTTATGCAAAGAAATGTTATTTGACCCAAAAAGTCATCAAATTGTATTGACCCAGAACAGGATTCCAGTAAAATGTCTCTTAAATTTGAGCTTAATTTGTTCGTCTCAGTGTAAAGTTAAGGGCCCTTACCAACCCTAGCGACCCTAAACCCAATTTCAGAGATTAATTTATTTTCTGCATCAGGCACTCACAGACATATTAGGGATCAGGATTCTCTCCTAAGTAAAAGCTGAGGATCCTCTTGATCAAGTTCATCAGATCGTTGAAATTTTATCCAACGGTTACAATTATTATAACTTTTAAAGGGCTCCTTTGTTTGTAGTCTTTGGATAAAATTTCAACGGTTTGATAAGCTTGGTCAGAAAGATCCTCATCCTTTACTCAGGAGATGATCCTGATCCACATATTAGGATTCGGTAATAATTAGTCTGCGGCCCATTTTGTCTTCTTCATGTTTTATTTATTTATTTTTCGATTCCATATATATGGACGATTTTCCATTTGATTTAAAGTGAAGTATCCCTACAGAGATGAGGTTGTCATGCCCTACCTAAATACTAAATAGGATTTGGGGGCTCAATGAATTAAATTTTATAATTAACAACAAATTTTAAGCCAAGAAATCTACTCAAAGTCACCCCCTCTCCATGAATTAAATTTTATAATTAACAACACCCTCAAGTGTGATAATGAGACAAGCTTATTTTGGCAGGTCAGGGAGCTGAATTTGTCTATCATGTCTCTCATAGTCAATCATTATTGGATAAACATACAGAATCAATGGCGAAGATATGTAAGGGCAAGGAGTGGCAGCTGTCACTTCCCTCGTTGGAACACGACTGGAGCGCTGGTTCAACCCCTCCTTGACAGAAAATCCAACTAGTTCTACTGCTGTGCAGCAGAGCTGAGTTGATTTTTTTTTTTTTTTTTTTTTTTTTTTTTGTAACATCCAGGGCAAAACGACGTCGTTTTGATCCTGGTAAAAAAATTAAAAAAAAAAAAAACGAAATGGTGCCATTTCATATATGTTGGAAAAAAAAAAAAAAAATTAGGGGACTGCGTGTCCCCTGTTCCCTTCAGTCTCTCCCTGTATCCTTTTCTTTTTCAATCTCCAATCAGAGCAAAGGTGTAGTAGCGCTCCCCCCAATTCCCAGCAACAAATGGAACGGAAATTCCTAGCACCGTTTGGCCTTTTGCTGCCACGCCAGCCGCCAGCCACTCCAGCAACCAGCTTCCAGCCTTCAAAGCCACTTTTTACGTAAAAAATTTTAAATCCTAAATTTATAATCCCTAACCCTAATTAATTATTTAAAACGAATTTTTTTTTAATTGGTATAGATCATATGGTAATGCACTAATATGGTCATTGGTTATTGATTATTGATATGATTCTATGATTATTGATATGAAATTATGAAATTATTTTCTAGGGTAAAAATTAAAATTATTGATTATTGATTAATTAATTGAATTATTACATAATGTATACAATTATATTTTTATATGTTGAATAATTTGTATGCATATTGGTATTGCTTAATTGAATTGTTGGTTGGATTAGTTATTATGCACATTAGTATAGTCTACTCTTGGATTATGAGTCTAAGAATTTTTTTTTCTTTCCATTTTACAGTTACGTAATGGAACAATCTATAACAACCAATGCTTAAATCCTTCTTCAAACATTTCGTGTCACATCTTGGCTCGGGCCCCCACCACATCCCTGACTCGATTCTACCGTAGCACGATATTGGCTGCTTTGAGCCCCGATCACGCCCTCACGGCTTTGTTTCTGGGAACTCACGCGAGCAGAACTTCCTAGTGGGTCACCTATCCTGGGAATGCTCTGGCCCTGTACTCGCTTAACTTCGGAGTTCGATAGAACCTGAAGCCAATAAGCTCCTAAAAGGCCTCGTGCTAGGTAGATATGGGAATATAAATATAAGGCTTACAGGATCCACTTCCCTGGGTGATGTGGGAAGTTACAATCCACCCCCTTTAGGGGCCCGACGTCCTCGTTAGCACACTTCCGGCCAGGGATTGACTCTGATACCAAATTGTCACATCTTGGCCCGGGCCCCCACCACATCCTGGGCTCGAATCCACCTGTAGCACGATATTGTTCGCTTTGGACCTCGACCACGTCCTCATTGTTTTGTTTCTGGGAACTCACGCGAGTAGAACTTCCCAGTAGGTCACCCATCATGGGAATGCTCTGGCCCCGTACTCACTTAACTTCGGAGTTCTGATGGAACCCGAAGCCAATGAGCTCTTAAAAAGTCTCGTGTTAGGTAGAGATGGGAATATACATATAAGGCTTACAGGATCCACTCCCCTGGGCAATGTGGGATGTTACATTTCGGGTAGTCCTTCTCCTTCAAATATTCCAAGTAGTCCTCCTCCTCCTTCAAATATTCCAAGAAGTCATTCTTCGAATATTCCGAGTAGTTTGCAACAAAATGAGGCCCAGTTGGATGAAATATTGGGTAATCTTCCTGTAAACCCTAGACATAGATGTCGAATATGCTTGATTATCTACCTAATTATCAGGAAGCAATTCGTAAGCACTATCTCCAAAATGATCCTTGTCAACCCAACGACCACATCATGCTAAGAAAAGTTAGCAACAATCGATGTTTTGTCATCTGTTGGCTTGATAAGTTTAAGTGGTTGGAGTATAGTATATCAAAAGATGCTGCATTTTGCCGTTATTACTATCTTTTCAAATGTGATTTTGATCAAACGGGTAATACAGGAAGTGATGTCTTCACTAAGAAAGAGTTTATAAATTGGAAGAAAAACCAGAAAATCTTCGAGTCTATGAGGGAGGGATTGAAAGTCTTTATAATAAAGCTCTACAACAAGCTAGAGATTTGATGACACAAAAACAACACATTGAAACATTTGTGATTAAGCAAACTTATGAAGCTCGCATTAATTATCATACTTTATTGAGTGCCTCACTTGAGTGCACAGGATGGTTGTTGGGACAAGGTTTGCCTTTTCGTGGCCACGATGAATCGTTGAAATCAAGCAATAGGGGTAATTATTTTGAGCTTATACAATTTCTTTCCAAGCATAATGAGCAAGTTAGGAAGGTTGTGTTTGAGAATGCTCCCAAGAATCTTAAGTATACTTCTTCCGATATTCAAAAATATCTTGTCCATGCTTGTGCCATTGAAACTATAGATGCAATCACTAAAGATATGGAAGATGTATTTTTTTTCTTTTTTGGTTGATGGAGCACGTGATGTTTCAACTAAAGAGCAAATGGCGGTGGTATTACGTTATGTGAACAAAAAATGAGAAGCAATTGAAAGGTTTTTGGGTGTGCAACATGTCTCCTCTACAACTAGTAGCTCACTTGAAGAGGCTATTGAGAGATTCTTTGTTACAACAAATTTGAGTATGTCCAAGTTACGGGGACAAGGGTATGATGGAGCTAGTAATATGAAAGGTGAGCTAAATGGCCTTAAAACAAAGATTTTGAACAAGTTTAATGCTAGTATTTTGGTCAATAGTAGTATTTTGGTCAATACTATTGCAAAGGGAATTGAGGGTGTCGCAAAGAGAATTGAGGGTGTCACCATTTTCTTCAACAATGCTAGTATTTTGGTCAATACTATTGGATCATCATGTAAGCATCGTGATGCATTTAGAGAGAAATAACTAGAACGAATTAAGAAAGCTCTTGATATTGGTGATCTTGAAATGGATAGAGGGTTGAATCAAGAGAGTAGTCTCATGCGTTCTTGTGATACACTTTGGAACTCACATTATGGTACTATAGTTAGTATTATTATCATGTTTGAAGCTGTGGTGGAAGGGCTTCAATGGATTAAAGATGACACCAACCAAGACAATTTCGGTGAAGCAAGTAAGTTATTCCATGAATACAAACTTTTGATTTTGTGTTTCGCCTTTTTTTGATAAGACTCATATTGGGAATTACAAATGAGTTATCAAAAGCATTACAAAAAAAAGATCAAGATATTGTGAATGCGAAGGCGTTAGTGGAAGTATGCAAGCAAAGACTACAATCATTGAGAGATGATGACTTTGGGGACTTGCCTGATGATGTACAAAAGTTTTGTGAAGAGCATGATACTGTCGTTCCTAACATGGAGGATTTGCATTTTGTACCCAGAAAATTAAAGCGTAAAGCTCCAAGATTCACAAACTTCCATTACTACTGTGTGGATCTCTATTTTCAAGTCCTTGACATGCAATTAAAGGAATTGAATGATCACTTCAATGAGGTAAATACCGAGTTGCTTCTTTGTATGGCGTGTTTGAATCCGGTGAATAATTTTGCATCTTTTGACAAAGAAAAAATTGTTCGTTTAGCCCAACTTGATCCTCAAGATTTTGATCGTATGGACCTCATGAATCTTCCAATTCAACTTCACAATTATATTCACGATATGAAGATGCATAGTGAGTTTTCATCATTGAGAGGAATTGGTGATCTTGCAAAGAAGTTGGTGAAGACCGGGAGGTGTGCAAGCTATATGTTAGTGTATAAGCTTCTTACGTTGGCTTTGGTGTTACTGGTTGCAACCGCTTCAGTGGAGAAAGCTTTTTCTGCTATAAAGATTGTGAAAACACCATTGCGTAACAAAATGGGAGATCAATGATTGAGTGATAGCATGCATGTTTACATTGAGAGATATGTATTTGCTTTTATTGATAATGAGCCTATTATGCGATGTTTGCATGATATGAAATCTCGCCGGTAACAATTGTAATTTGTTTATATTGATAAATTATGGAAGACATTACTATATAAAAGAATTTGGTTGTTGCTATTCTTTTGAACCTTGCACTCTTTTAACTTCGCCCCTCCCCCCATCAATTCATGGCTTCGCCACTGGGCGGGATAGCGTGGAGTTCTAACCAACCACTTAGGGAGCATCTTGCATGCCTTAACGAATCATTCACCACCCATGTCTGCCACTATATAAAGGCATTTTCATTTCCATTAAAAAAAAAAAAAAAAAAAGAGGTAATCGTTCATTAGCTAAGAAACCCATAGCTTGTGATTCATTCTCCTATATTAAGTCTAACTTACGCATAGGTGGGCTTTTGGCTTACATTACACTATTATGACAAAGTCTTACCTGTCTTTTTATTCTTGATTATAGAGACACCAGAGCACCATAGTAATTTAAAGCTTGTGTGTAATTCGTTCTTCACACCTACTTCTTGAAATGAAATATATATTTACTTGGATTTTCTACATAGATTAAAAATTAAGGTGTAAAGATTCATATTAAAAGTTTGTTATTATATTATGAGTGATTAAATTTAGGCATGAAAATGATGCGGTTTGCCTACCGGCCGCCACCAACACAATCTGAAAACAGAAAATACAAACATACTAAAGATTGAACTATAACATTGACAGGGCGAGTCAGGAAAAAAAATTGGAATAAAACAAGATGGCATTTGCTAGATAGACATATACTAGATGACATTTCGTGTCCATTATGTGTAAGGTTCATTTTATTCGCATATAGATACCCAAAACGAATTTGACAATGCAAGAAATTTGTTACTCAAGTAAAAATAAAATAACTTTTTTTTTTTTTAACAAACGATATTATCTACACTAAGGAAGGGGAGTAGACTAAGCCACACAATGGACGAGCCATAGTAACGTGGTTCAAATTCGCTTTTAGAGAGAATCAGACCTAAGACATTTTACTTACAAATGAAGAAACATATCACTAGATTGTAGTACTAAGCAGCAATAATAAAACAATTTTAGAATACTGTAAAGTGCAAACCCAGGTCCATGCTTGTAAGCTATACCTCAATCCACTGCCATACATATTGTACTGACTAATACGGAAAAATAAACACTGAACCACCTTTTAGGGGATAAAGCTCGTCATAGTATGTTAATAGAAATTAACTAGCCTCCTCAATAGGTGAGGAGGAGTTCCTCCTCAAAATACGATGTTACCGATTCATGAAATTTCGTGTTTATAAATGAAATCGTTCATACTATAAATTATTTTATAAAAATCATCTTTGTAAAAAATAAATAAAAATGAGATTGTTTAGTCATTAAACTATCTAAAAACAAATGATCGGATACGGTAAAAGCATTACAATCCGTCTATCTATTTGTTACATTTGATTGATTAAATGATCTTATTTTAAACTAAATTTTTGAATAGATGATCTTTACAAAGAATTTAATATGAACAGTTTTGATTTTAAATACAAAGTTATGTAGATCATTAATAAAACATCTTGAGAAGGAATCTTTCCCTCAATTTTAAGCAACCTAAGTTTCCTCATATTAGTATAGACCTCATAGAAATTAAATTTAAATTATTAGTACTATTATCACAAATACTCTACACTAAGCAAAACAACAACACGACAATTTCACTATTAATTATTAGGAACTTTAACGAAAAGCTCTCGGTACTGTTTAGTTTAATGAAAAACCATATTTTTACACTAAAAAGTCAATCCTAGTACTATTCACTTTACCCTTTATTTTGTCATTATTGTTAAAACTCAAAGATTCAAACCCTTTTCATTAGTTTTCCTTTAATTATTCAATTGTGTCGTATTATTTTGACATGGATAATGCTAGAGATCAAACTTTTAAATCAAATTTACAAATCAAATGTTATGTCACCAATAAGAGATAAGCATGTTAACGGACGCTTAATTATTTATCCAATCATCTACGACCACATCATTTGGTTTTGCAAATTTGATTTACCAAATTTGGTCTCCCTAGCATTACCCTTTTGACATGCATTCATTATCTTTTTTTGGGGTAATAATAGGAGACAACATTTTGTAAATCAAATGATGTGGTTGTTGATGATTGGATTATTACTTAAGTGTTGATTAACGTTTTTTTTCCTATTGGTGACAGATTATTTAGTTTGCATATTTGGTTTAAAAATTTGATCTCCTTAACAATATTCTTTCGCAATTCCTCAGAAAGATTATGAGATTCCATCGCTTTATGAGATTCTACCACTAGTGAGACAGACTCATGATAATATATGTTTTTATCTGCAATGTTACATATCATTCAGTAGTAAGAATTTTAAGCAAGATCTAACCCCTGTAAAATATATTAAATTTTTATATTAAAATATAACTGTTGATTTTCGGACTACTCAATGATATGTACTTATAATAGAAGAAATTTTTTGAAATAAGATATATAATTGAAGAGATGTATCGTTTGGACTCTGTGAGTCAAACCCCTCCTACTCAAGTGAGGATCCTCACCGGATCCTCTTTGTGAGGTTCTTGAGGATCCTCAAATCACATCCGTTCATCGTACATCGTACGGTCAAAAATTATTATAATTTTTTTATTTAAAATTAAATATAAACAGTATCTGACGAAAATTGGTCACATGATGTATGAAAAATGGATGTGATTGGAGGATCCGGCAAGAATCCTCTATCCTCCTACTCAAACTTTGATACTATAATATTTTGACCAAAGAAAGGATACTACAATATTGCGTGGTTTTACAATTATTTAAAAAATATAATACGATTAAAATATTGTATATCCAGAGATGTAGCGGCCTTCAACCTCAACCCCTCCTTTTTTCAAATGTTCATTTTGTAGTCCTAAACCACGACAATTTCAATATCTTGCTTGGCAATCAAAATAATGGATGAACTACATAAAACTTCGATGCAATAGTATATATTTTTGGATATCAGTGCATAGCTTGATTATACTTCAAGCTCAAGGAATATGAACCTGCATTCATTAACAATTTAACATCTAAACTACATTATTTTTTCGATTGGAATCTGTATGTGGCAGAAGAGTATTGGTCAATAGACTCAATACTACCAAATACTTGATATTTGAAAAGTTTCAATGTTGTTATTGCCACCAACATGTATACTAAAGTGATGGATTTCGATCACCCGAAATTCTTGTTGCTTAAGTTCAGCAGATATCATGCATGGTGAATAAGCCATCTCTCATCTCCTCATTCCAATTCCCCAAAAATACTAGCTTGAACAAGACGGATTGAAATTCTAATTCAATACATATCCACAAAGTTCTTCCTTGTATTATATACGGGTGATTATGGATCAAAATATGACAAGTAAGATACAAGAATGACTAATAACTTCAAGCCCTCAATATTTCAGCGCTACCATACTGAAATTCTTGTACCTAACAACACTTATCAACTTGCAAAATCGCCCCTTACACTATGGAAATGGTGCATCATGTAAGGTAAAACTCGGATAAGTTATGAAGCTCATGTGAGTGACAGAACAAAATAACATATGTTAAAAAAAATAACATATGTGAATAAACAGTCAATCTATCTTATTTATAAAAATTTCACAATCCTTTTCATAAAATAACTTCCCTCACAAAACTTGATTGAATCAACACAGTCACGCTGCCATCTTTTTATGATTGATCCAGTACTCAATCATCTCTTTCATATTAATAATAAAATAGTAAGGCTAGTATAAATCACAACGTTCTCTATTCCAGATGCACTCATGGAATTTGATACAAGGATACACAAGATACGAAGTAGGATTCCAAACTCACTCAATGGAACCAAACAGAATGCAGGGATCCAGACACACTCACTGGCATCCATATATACAGTATTAGTAGGATTGAATATGCATCCGTGGAATCAGAAAGAAAGGTAACTAGGGATTTAAGATCCACATGAAATCAAAAAGAAAGTATTTCAGAATATTGGTCATCTACTAGCCCTCTCACTTCACAAACCTTTCAAATATACATGTATATATATATATGCATTTCACAAAGCAAATCGATGACTAACATTAAAAACATTTATAAATCGATGTTATATCCACAAAGTATATCAATATGGGAATTTTCGTAAGCAAAATACTTACATAATATTAAAGTCACTTACCTTGAGTCCAAGCTACTACCAATCCTAGGTCGATGATCGAAGCACTAGGTGACACGTCCTGATCCCAATGTCCTAGGGACATCGGGATGGCCGCGTGTTGGCCGACACCCGAAGGTGACGCAAGCCATTTAATGAATGCATAAATTTCACTTGAAGTAGTAATAATATACTAATATATATGTCTTACAAAATACCATAATAATATTCAACTATCAATAATGAATATAATGATAATGCATGACATGTTCAGAGCATACATCGAATTCAAAGTACAAGTGGAAGATGCTATTACAATGAAGTCAAAGCAGAAGGGATGGCACGATGTCACTGGTAAGGGAATGCCTTGTAGCTCAATTCATAATCCTCGTTCCTATGTCCTGAGGGGGCGCAAAACAAACATGAGTGGACCAAGTTGATATATATATATATATATATATATAATATTGAAACAGTTATCAACATACTAACCCCCAAAGTTTTATGAAAACTCAATAGCATAATATGCAATAGGTTTTCCGAAAATCCTAGCATGCCATAAAACCTTTCATAAAACATATCTCGTGTATAGTGTGCTAACTAGTGGTATCAGTATTGCCCGAAGGCATAGAGAACTCTTCATTTAGAACACTTCTTTTAGAACACTTCATTTGCCAAACAGACACCATCCTACGCCAGTCCGAAGCCAATATAAATATCATTTGCCAAACAGGCACC